CAAATGATCACAGGATAGACAATTGCGCAATATATCACATAATTCTGTTAACCGTCATCTCCTCATCACTTTACTTAAAAATAATTATGCTAATAAGAATGATGGTAAACAAGACAACAGTTTTTCAAAGACATTTATTTAATACCCATCGTTTACCGAAATCGTTCATTCTGTAAGAGAACCTTAACCTTCAGAAAAATCATTTAGCCATCCTTTGGAACGTATCTAAAATTGTAGATAATCTAAGGTACCTAAATCGACGATCAATGAAGAGCTACAGACTGGAAAAGATTTACAACAGGACGTTTTGCCAGACTTATTTTAACTTCAAAGTTTCTTACATTCATTTAATTTACGAAACTTTCAACAATGATAATTATGATCACAATGATGTGCCTAGTGAATGTTTTCTCTATTGACTTCAGTTATAAATTCCATAGCTATTCAAATTTTGAAGAGTAATCAGTGTAGTGTTATGCTTGACAATTGATATGCTTGAAACTATTAGGAGTTCACCTTAGTCGGTAAACGAGACCGACACAAATGATCCAGTGACGCGATAGGTTTCTCAAATCCGTTGCCCCCGTCTAACTGAAGAAAGAAGTCTTGATATGGCATAGAAAGTATATTCTAAAATCACCCAGAAAATATGAGGTTTAGAAGCACACAAATTGAGTTTATTTCTACATCATAGAAACGTCCTTGGGAGAGCCATAAAGTGAGTTCTGGGGATCTAACAACCCCAAGCGTTTAGCTTCAAAAATGGGGAACTTGAGGGACCGATTAAAAAATGACCATGAGAAAACTTATAATTTCTTTTAAATGGAAATAATAACGATTACAATGAGTAATTTTTGATTCAAAATAGAGTAAATTACAAAAGCACATATTATTTATGTTACATTAGTAATGAATATTTCCTAGATCATCTTCAACACGTTTAAATATTTCGTCCATAAAACTACTGTAGTGAAGGAGAACACAGGTGAGGGCAACCGAATTGTATTTAACGAAAATTACAGAGTTACTCAGTAAAATAGGAAAACCATATCGTAAATCGTTAATTTGCAAATGTTCAATCCATCATCAATCCATTGTCTGACATTTCACTATTCATGCATTTCATACAAATTCTATTGTGTTCCCCCACTCTTGCTTTCTTGATCTTCTCCCATCTTCTGCTGCCAGATATTACGTTTACACTCACGTCATATACTACTTATAAGTAGCGCGCACCACACTACTATTTATTTCTTCTTAGGAGTTTTAATATGTTTGTAATTAATTTCTGAAACGATCCCTAATGTGCATGCGAAGGATAGTTAATTGATTGGATGAAAAAACGAAACTCTCTACTGACCACTTTCTTTTGTTAAAGTGTGGTGCGCACTACTTATAAGTAGTATATGACGCGAGCGTAAACGTAATGTCTGGCAGCAGAAGATAGGGGAAGATCAAGAAAGGAAGAAGAGTGGGAACACAATGGAATTTGTATGAAACGCATCAATAGTGAGTGAAATGTCAGACAACAATGGATTGATGATGGATTGAACATTTGCAAATTAACGATTTACGATATGGTTTTCCTATTTTACTGAGTAACTCTGTAATTTTCATTAAATACAATTCGGTTGCCCTCACCTGTGTTCTCCTTCACTACCAAAGTATAATGCTATAGAATATAACTTTATCTTGTTCTATTGTGCAATTCTTGATGACTGACTATTTCACAACCATAATCATAGATAAGTAAATTTCTTGATAATTGAATATTTTCACCGCCAGTTTATCGTATTCTCTATGATTACAAATCAATAATTCTGCAAACGATAATCATTGTTTGTCCAATATATTTGGAAAAGACCTTTGTAGTGACCTCATCATCATCGTTATTGGTTAGTTCCCTCAATTAAACTCAATTGTATAAATAATTTAGACTGAATTAAAAATACTGATTTATCAGACTAATAATTATCCAATATTCTTAGGTTTTCAAGGATTTACCAACTAATTTCAATAGGTCATTCTCTTGATACAGTGAGAAGACTAAGACAGGCGCGGAAGATTGTATTATGCAAATTTACACTCTGAGTCAATTAAAAACGAAAACATTACATTGAATACACTCTATTTGCACACCATCTTTGAGTCGTGACTTCCAACACTCCATCCTTCTTCTTCCATTCCTGTTGTTGCTTCCTTTCCTTCCTATTGGTAGTCCATGTACTTCTTGCTTTTGCTCCATTTGCTTTCTGTTTTCCTCTTCTGACCGTAAGACTTTTTCTTTCACGTTCCTTCTTATACTACTACTTATATCGTTCTTATAAGTAGCACACACCACAACAGTAGTAATTAAAACCTAGAGAAGTTTGAAAGAATCATTTCATTTTACATTTGACATGTATTAAGTAGTCAATATATGTTTTTATTTTCAATAAGAGTTATGGATATCATTGTTTTTACACATTTGATTTCATTAGTCATTCATTGTTAGACAGAGCACCATTAGAAGATACCGGGAAGCACTGAAAGACGGCCGTTTCATGCGGGTACGGGACTCATTAGTGGCAGTGCACATGCATGACTCCCGCTACTCGCAAGATACAAAAAACCCAGGACGTTCGGTCTTGCACGCGAACACCTAACCTCTGAATCACTGCGCCAGCGGCATCCTACGGTGTTAATGGATGTTCACTGCTGATAAGTCTCATACCAGGACGTGACGACCGTCCAGTGCTTTCAGGTTTCTAATGGTGATGTCTAACATAGATTAATTCATGATTTCTTTGTGCAAAAATATATGTTTTGCCAAATCAACCAGTAATCTTTAATACTTATTCATTTTTTATTCTAATCAGAAGATAAATAGATAACTGACATCTAACAAAGTTGAACAATATCAGCAATTATTGGCTTCTCAATAGCATGCTGGGGAATTCAAAATCATCAACAAATGTTCATTAGTTGACTAATTTTGAAAAGTAATCAGTAAAATTCTGGTGAAAAGTCACAATCAATGGAGAAGTTCCATCATCATGTTAAAATGTGAAATAGTTACTTATCAATAACATTGAAATATGACTGTACAATAAATATATCCTGAGTTAATTACAGTGAAAAATATAAATCACCCGATGTTGACTCTCAAACTTAATGTTGCGGATGTTAGTTCCCCAGAACTCGCTGCTTGATAAATAAATATCTTTATTTTGGATTTATTTCATGGACCGACTAGGTGGCCTTGAGATCACATTTCCCAACAGGAAAATCCTTGGCTGTGATTGGTTACTGTGTTATTTCAGTGCTCTGTTTTTGTGACTGTCCCAAGGACGTCTCTATAGAGTATAAATAAACGCAATTCGAGTGCAGGATTCATTGTGTGCTGGTTGGGTGTTTGTAGAATACAAGTTCTACACTATATCAAGACTTCTTACTGATACAATTTGGTCAAGGGATCACAATAGCCTACCTGGACTCTGGTTCATTGTTTTGTTCTCGTTATTTGACTAACGTGAACTCATAATAGTTTAAGCGTACATACCTAGAGTCGAGCATAACACTTAAGTACTTGCTTGCCATGAGACTTGAGTATCATGAATTCAAACTGCAGTTCGGTCATCTAATTCTCACTACTGCCCAATTCTCTACTAAAAATTAAAAAAAAAGACAGTCCTCAATTATTTCTTCGGTTTTCATCGATTCTCGTCTAAATAGAATGTGAATTTCATTTTCTTTTTTTTAATTCATGAACTACTTAAAATTGAAATCGATTACTGATTTCAACGGTTTCGCTTATAAATTTTATGATCGTTACACTATTTGTCTTTGATTTGAACAGGAATTCAATAGGTCATGAATTAATTTAGTAAAAGGATATTTAGAATAAGGCTACTGTTAGGATATTCATCCAATATGCTAAGAGAATTATTTTCGGAATTCTAATTCTATTGGTTAATTCCTACTGGCCAATTTTATGGTCGTCCTGACTATCAATGTCACTTCCAATGTTGCTTCCTATTGGTCGTCTTAACTGTCAATGTCACAGAATTCGGTGTTGTTTCCTATTCGACCAAAATGTATGAATACGCATTATCTGTAATGTTTTATGACCAGAACCCGGTCCCGGATCCCTAGTCCGAGATCCTGATACTCTTTTGAACTCGGAACTCGTACTTTCTGAATGCTTGTTGAAAACAGGTTCTACTTCATATCAAGTCTTGTCTTTTTTTACTCAATATGGGGGTTGGGATACTCGGATTTTTGGTAGCATGTCGTGTCACCGGATCGTCGATCCTCGCTCTCGTTTTCCGACCAGGTAAACTCGTAATAGTTCAAGCATATCAAAATGATGTGTTTACATGCAGGCGTAACAGCTACTACCTCTATCACTCTTGGATTTGAACTGACAGTTGCATCTGTGTGCTGATGTTGTGGTATGGCAACCTGAACTGATGTACTTATGATTACGTTCTGCATTGTATCTGCCTGTCTATGTTGTGTTGAAAGTGAATTATACATAGTGTGGAACCCAGTGAATCATTCTCCTCTTCATAAAATCACTAAAGTTTTTTGAAATAAGATCAATACAAATGGATCTTTCGGATTTCCAGCTAACTATCGCATTCAGCTGATTGTATCATGTACTAGTTTACACTAAAACTGATTTTTTTTAAGAAAAAGAAAACAGACTTTCTCATTTGACTTTATTCAAACTTCTTTGTATATTATCTCTTGGCATACTAGTCAATAAATAATTTGAATATAAAATGGAAACAGAAAATAAGCGCAACAATATAAGTAGTATATAAATAATAGTAAAAAAAATAATAAACTTTAATGTTTTTTTTACAAAAAAATAATTATGATATTGCTCATTTAAAGGAAAAAAAACAAATAGACAAAAAACTGTTTTGCATCTTCGCATCAAACGAATACACACGAAAAAAAATACATAAATTTGCTTACTATACACACACAAAGAAAAATCCAGGTACTACTCATTATACATTTCTGTCTTGATCTGATGAGATCATTCCATTGATAGTAGTAGTATGATGATGATTCAGTGTGTTCGAACAATCTGGCGTATTTGATGTATGAAAGCATTTCATTAATGATAAATAATTTAAAATATTTGAAAGTAGCTTAATATATTCAAAATAATGTTCACTAACAGGAGGATCATGTTTTGTCAATGGCATAGATGATATATGATAAGGAATTGAAGAATATGAAGATGTGGATTGGTGTTGTAGTAAAGTGTTAACATTGGATGACGATGAAGTTGAAGATGTTTCTGGCGCTTGTACTCCTTGTTGTAATAAACTGAGTATATCATTCAAGGAATTCGATGGGAGATTGGCCAGTTTGAAAGCGGTTGAAGTGAAACATGAAAAAGGGAAACTAGACAATGACGATGTTGTCGTTGTTGAGAATGAAGGATTTGGGATGGTTGTAGCATACGAATGATATGTTATCGGTTTCATAGAATAATCCAACACTTCATTAGGACATGCGGTAGTACTGGTAGTAGTAGAAGTAATAGTACTACTAGTGGTAGTGTTTCTCTGCATTTCCACAGTACATGTTGGACTGATTGAATGCAATTCATTGACATAATGATTCAGTGTATTCATGTCATTGTAATTACAATTATTACTATTATTGTTATTATTAGTATTAATATCGATTGAATTAATATCATTAAAACGAAATTTCAATGGTTTTCTATTTCGATCGGCACATTCATTTAATAATCGTTCACAGGATTGATGTAGTAAATCCAATGGGCTTCTGAATGACTAAAAATCAATAAATCAATAAAAATTCAGGAGTTAAATGACAAAGAAAATGAAATTTGTAATGATAATAATAATAATAATATTTATGCGTTTCTTTGAATACACCGATTTTAGCTTCTGACTTCAAATATGACCGTGAACATATTGATTATTGTGGCCCATGTTATTACTTACTTACTTACTTACTTATGTCTGTTACCCCCAATGGACCATAGGCTGCCCAACAGTATTCTCCAACCAACTCTGTCCTGGGGTTCCTGTTGGGGATGTTAGATCCCCAAAACTCGCTAGATAAATGCCTTATTTTGCTTTTCACGTTTGCCAGCATGAGCTGATCGGTTGACCTTGAGATTGCATTTCCCACCAGGAAAATCCATGGTTGTGATTGGTTACTGTGTCATTTTAGTGTGCTATTTTTGTGACTGTTCCAAAGACGTTTCTAAGATGTATAAATAAACGAGAGTTGTATGCTTGATTGTACTGTGAGATTGCTGGGTGTTTGTAGAATATACTTTCTACGCTTACAAAGCCTTCTTACTTTAATTGGGGATTCAAGGTAGCCTACCTCGACATTGGTAATTGTCTCGTTCGTGTTTATCGACTAAGGTAAACTTGTAAATAGCTTCAAGCATACTAGGTGACGAACTCAATACTTCCCTTTCCAGTTCTGTCCAATTTTTGTTCATTCCTCTTATATCTTTCTCTATTTCTGGCCCATGTTATGGTCGATGATAAAGTCTACTCGACTTCAGAATATTACAGTTTTGAAGAATGCATACCAATTTCAGATTTTGACTTCAAATATCACTGTGAACATTTTCATTACTGTCAGTTTGTGTGACCCATATTATGGTCGATGATAAAGTCTACTTGACTTGAGACATTAATAATATATGATAAAAGAATATTACAGTTTTGAAAAAATCACCTTTCGTGTCATCTCTATAATGAATTCGTTCTTATCAATAGATAATCCTGCGCGCTTGTTATAAATATATTGACTTGATGTATTCTTAAAAAGCACTACTTAGTTAACGCATAGATCTCTGCATTAATTAACTTCTATAATGTGTTTGTCATTTAAATATCATCATGATAAGTTTTTATCAGTGTTTTTTTATGTTTTCTGACAAAGTAAGTCAGTCATTCACACAGGCTCGTAGATTTGTATTTGTGCAGTTTTTTACGCTAACAATTCATTGTGTAAGTGTACTCTGTTTGAATTAATTAATTATATATACGTAATGTAGTATCAAACAACTACCCAACCGAAGCTGCTACCTTGACGTGGTGGTCGGGATTGCCTATCATGACTACCCAACCAAGATATATTGGCTGGAACTTACGTTTCTAAAGTTTCTACCATGCCAGGCAGGTCGATTGGAGAACGATGAGATGGTGACTTTAATGCTCAAGTAGGTAGACTAAGTGAAAATGAAAGACACCTAGGTGGATGATATGGTGTCGCGGCTCAGAGAACAGACAATGGCGACCGTCTGTTGCAAGCATGCTCAGACAACCGCCTATTCTTAGCAAACATTAACTTTAGGCATAAAGAAAAGCATCTATTGACCTGGCGACCTCCAAAGTCGTCTCAACGTTGGACCCAACTAGATCACATCGCCATCAGCCACCGATGGAGGGGTTCGATAGAGGACTGTCGCCCGTTGTGGGGCACATGTTTAGATTCAGACCATGCCCTAGTGCGAGCTCGTATTTGTTTGAGGTTTACTGGGCGTAGGAAAGACGCCATAAGAAAGCCTCTTAGAGTGTTACCTAATGATAATAAGGGGAAGAATATATTTCAGGAACAACTAGAAAGACAGTTAAGCCACCATTTAAGCGATTCCCATCCGGAGGCAGGTTGGAATGATATCAAGAAGGCTTTGAAAACAGCAGTGATATCTGCTAGTAAGGTTGACCATAAGACTAGAATGAAGCCGTGGATCTCAGTAGCATCCACCGAACTGATAAATGCCCGAAAACGCATCCCACTTGGCTCTGAACATGATGAAGAACGAAGTCAGCTTAGGCGCAGGCTGATAAAAAGCCTGCGCAACGACCGCGAGCAGTGGTGGGTGGCGAAAGCAAAAGCGATGGAAAAGGCAGCGGCGATAGGCAACACTAAACAACTTTTCCGACTTATCAAGGAAACTGGTATTAGGAATCCTAGTGTGAGACTATCTCGGAAATTGATGGGACTATTACTTATTCTCCATCCAAGAGACTGGATCGATGGGCAGAACACTTTAGAAATCAGTTCAACTGGCCTTCAGCCACATTTCGCCTACCCATGATCTCCAGTCATCCTGAATGGCAAATCGACGTAAGTCCACCTAGTCTTAATGAAGTTGAAAAAGCGTTAGGAAATCTGAAGCGAGGACGAGCTGCAGGTCCTGATAGACTGACCCCTGAGATATTTAAGGATGGTGGTCCAGCTTTAGCAGCTAGATTGAGTGAGATCTTTGGTAGAATCTGGGAACTGGACACAATCCCATCCGACTGGTCTCGATCCCTGATTGTCACAATTTATAAGAAAGGACAAAAGTCCTCTTGTGACAATCACAGGGGAATCAGTATAACTAATATAGTTTCTAAATTGTTAGCCTCCATTATACTTGGATACCTCACTAGAGCTAGTGAAGAGCAGGCTAGAGAAAACCAGTCTGGTTTCAGACTTGGACGTGGCGGTATAGACCACATCTTCACACTATGACAGGTCTTGGAACACAGACACACATTTAGGCGTCCTACAATAGTTGTTTTCCTGGACCTTAAGGCGGCATTCAACTCTGTTGATCGCAAGGTTCTGTGGCAGAGTCTGTCATCGAAAGGTGTACCAGAGAAGTACATTAACCTTATACAAGCTCTCTGCTCTAAAACTACTGGTCTCATGAGAGCTTGTGGCGAACTGACATTGGAATTCTTTACTTCAAATGGTGTCCGTCAGGGATGTCCACTCTCTCTCTATTCTTGTTTAGTGATGTCATAGACATGTTACTAGATGTAACCTTATCCTCGCCTGAATTTTCAGGAGTCGACTTTCTACCTGGAAAATCACTCGCTGACTTAGAATATGCCAATGACATAATTCTATTCGGTGAAGACGCTGATAAATTGCAGAGTTTTCTGACTACGCTAAGCAACAATGCAAACATGTTCGAGGTGTGGTTCTCCTCATCGAAATGCAAAATGTTGCTTCAAGATTGGGTTGCATCGGCACCTGAACTAGTGATAGGGGGTAAAGTAGTCGAACGTGTAGACCACTTCACGTATCTGGGGAGTCTTATCAGTGCTGATGGCCTGGAGACTGACGAAATCTCAGTACGGATTCAGAAGGGTCAACTGGCTTTTGCCAACCTGCGTCACTGATGGCGTAGTTGAGATATCCGTTTGTTGACTAAAGGACGGGAGTACTGTGCTGGCTGAGTGTGCTGGCTGTGAAACATGTCCAGTGAGAGTAGAAGATATTCGTAGGTTACTTGTTTTCGATCATAGGTGTCTTCGAAGTATTGCTCGAGTATCCTGAGACACCCGAGTGAGCAATGCTATTATTAGGAAACGGGTGTTAGGTAAGAATGGCAGATCAATGAATGAAATGGTGAAACTTCGTCAGTTGAGGTGGTTGGGACATGTTCTGCGTATGCCTAACCACTGACTACCTCGACGAGCTTTGTTTTGTAGTGTAGGAGTAGGTCCGAAGAAAACTAGGGGTGGCCAAATCAAAACACGGCAGAAATCTATGAAGTCACTGACAAGTGGACTGAGTCATGTTGATAGATGTAAGCTACCTGGTTGGGGTCTGCAAGACGATAGTCACCGATGGTTCAAGACCTTGAATGACATGGTTCAAAATCGTTTGCGATGGCGCAGGTGCATCCAATCTTTGTGTGCTTTTTAATTCTAACCTTGTGGATTCCTCATAATCTCTGTCTTTCTCTTTACAAATTGATCTCACTGAATTATACTTGTCGAATCATATCTTCACTGCTTACTGCTAATACTTCTTTTATTGCTATCACTCTTTGTATTTGAACTGACAGTTGCGTCTGTGTGCTGATGTGGTATGGCAACCTGAAATAATGTACTTACGTACGAAGTTCTGCGTTGTATCTATCTCTATCAAAACAACTAACTATTTGTTTGTCGCTCTATTTGTATTCAATGTGTACAGTTTAAACAAAAATGGACGGTACACATTTCAAAATAAAGAAAAAAGAAGAAAATATTGAAAATTCACGCAAACGATGCCGGTTAAAATAAAAAAAGATGAAAAGAAAAATCTCGCTCTCTCTCACCGCGTGTTTGTTTATTTACTGACTGATCATGCGATTATGACAAAACAAAAGGACTCTTCACAAATACTAATTTAAGTCTAGACTACATATATGTATACATCACAAACTTAAAAGGTCATTGCTTGAATTAATCATAGAACATTGAAATAATAAATTCAGTTTAGTTTTAGACTATGTGAAGTGTGTGTGTGTGTGCGTGTTTTGAAGTTCGCTGAAAAAGAAATCAAAATGAAAGTGAAGAATGTTACTGTACTGAGACTTCATAGGTCCTTTCTAAGATCGCTTTGCTGAATGATGAACACATTAGTAGGATATTTTGGAAATACATAAACTAATCTTTGTTGAATTTCATGGATTTTAAATTGTTAGTTAGTCAGTCAGTCAGTCGTTCAGTTACAACGTGGAACTTCGTACGTAAGTACATTAGTTAAGGTTGCCATATCGAATTATAGCACACAGAGACACAACTGTCAGTTCAAATCCAATAGTGGTAGAGATAGTAGAAGTATTAGCAGTAATGGAGAAGATTACGATTTGAAGATAATATTCAAGAAGTATAATTCAGTGAGATAAATTTACGAAGAGAAAGTTAGAGATGACGAGGAATTCGGAAGATTAGAATTTGAGAGAACACAAAGAGTGAATGCACTTAGCCATTGGAAACGATTTTCAGCCATGTCGTTCAAGGTCTCTAAACACTTGTTACCAGTGTCTCGAGGGCCCAACCAGGTAGTCCCCCATCTTTTGGTTTGGCCGCCCCTAGCTTTCTTCCGACCTACTCCTACACTACAAAACGAAGCTCGTCGAGGCAGTCAGTGGTTAGGCATACGCAGTAAATGTCCCAACCACCTCAACTGACGAAGTTTCACCACTTCATCTATTGATCTGCCATTCTTACCTACCACCCGTTTCCTAATAATAGCATTGCTCACTCGGGCGTCCCACAATATACGAGCAATGCTTCGAAGACATGTACGATCGAAAACAAGTAACCTACGAATATCTTCTACTCTTACTGGCCATGTTTCACAGCCATAAAGTAAGACGGAGCGAACCACTGCGCAGTACACTCGTCCTTCAGTCAGCAAACGGATATCTCAACTACGCCATCAGTGACGCAGGTTGGCAAAAGCCAGTTGACCCTTCTGAATCCGTACTGAGATTTCGTCAGTCTCCAGGCCATCAGCACTGATAAGACTCCCCAGATACGTGAAGTGGTCTACACGTTCGACTACTTTACCCCCTATCACTAGTTCAGGTGCCGATGCAACCCAATCTTGAAGCAACATTTTGCATTTCGATGAGGAGAACCACACCTCGAACATGTTTGCATTGTTGCTTAGGGTAGTAATCAGAGGACTTCATTTTGTCAGCATTTATCAGCATACTCTAAGTCAGCAAGCGTGTCTCCTGGTAAAAGGTTCACTCCTGAAGAGTAAAACGATGATCATCTTAACTTCAAAAGGATGTCAACGACAAAGTTAAACAAGAATGAAGAGACTGGATAGACCTGAGAGACATCACTTAAAATAGAGAATTCCGATGACAGTTCACCATAGGCTCTCACCGGACCAGTGGAGTTTGATTAGAGAGCTTCTATGAAAAAAATGTTAGACAATTAGGCTACATGTGTTATTTATCTTCCGGGGTTATCTCCAGAAATGATAAGTCGAAATAAGGAGACTAGTTTGGTGGTTTTTCACTAACTCATTGTAACATTTCATGAGATTTATTTAAATTCTTGATGTAATAGTTTCACGCCTTTTTTATTTTCAACGTAAATGTTTATGTTACTTAAGTGTGACACTTGATGTCAGTCTTCTGAATAGTGTAATATTTTAGTCAGTGTGATATTACGGTTTTTATTTTTCAGTTGAACACTATTTCAGATCAATATGTTTTATAAATTAATTAAGTAAGTATAAGTCTTGATCAATATGATTTGTTAAAACTTTCCATCCAGTACGACAATTAGAAATCCCTTTATGAACTTCGTATATATATTTTAAAAGAGTTTACTGTCGACTTCTTCCAACCATGACTTTCTACGTCAACATGATTTACACAATGTCGAGTGACTTAGACTAATGCCCCACATAAAAACCTGGTCGATAGAACTCTGGCAACAATGAGAGAAAATTTAACTTACATGACACTGGTCATTACCCCAGTGATCGATCACATGTAAATACATACAGAAATCAATAATGCTGCTCGTTATAGAAATCTCCAAGAGTTCAAATGTTGTTGATATTAGAACTCTGTTGCTTTAAGTCATCTAAGTTAATGATACTTTAATCATGCGTAAACTACCTAACAGTTTCAAATGACCGACGCACTTCGTTTCAAGGGGGTATGCAATATATACATGAGCAGAATTGAAGTTTATTTGACCAGATCATTTCTCAATTACTTAAGTACTATATAAAAGATATTGAATATAAACGACGATTGGAATTTAAGTCATTACAATGCTATGCTAGGTAAACTTAAGTTAATCATTGTTAGACTACAATTAGAAACCTGGAAGCACTGGACGACTGTCAAGTCCTGGTATGGGACTCATCAGTGACAGTGCGCATCCACGACTCCTGCACCTCGCAGGATTCGAACCCGAGACCTTTGGTTCTGTGTAAAACACAAACCTCCAAAACTCTGCCCCGAAATATCGTAACAGTACTCACAAGTGACTAGCTTCGTGAGGAAATTCTCGAAGTTCTGGTTTTTTTGAAGACGTGACCAATGGAGTTCAACCCTGTCGGGTGTAGGCAGTAACTACCAAAGACAAATGGATGAGGTCGCGCAAAATCCCTAGATCAATCAGAGTTAGACATTAACACCGTTAGATGCCGGCCAGTTCAGTGGTCCGATGGTTAGTCGTTCGCCTACAATCCCGAAGGTCCTGGGTTCGAATCCTGCGAGGTGCAGGAAACGTGGATGCGCACTACCGCTGATGAGTAGTCCCATACCAGGACGAAATGGCCGTCTTTCAGTGGCGCTTCCAGGTTTCTAATGGTGCTCTGTCTAACATTGATCGATTTATGGTTTCAAAAATTGTGTATCACTTAACAACCAATCTTCACAACAAACCCCGTAATGCAAATTATTATATTGTGACATTTGTTAATTAATCATAATTATTTATTTTTTATTTAATACTAAAAGATTTATATTTTTCTAAAATTAAACTGATTTGTACATTTTGATTTTTTATTTTTTTATTTTTTGATATGACTGAATCATAATACAATAAGTCATATTTTATATATTTAGTTGACCTCAATGAAGTCAGTTAATATATAATTTTGTCCTATTGATTATTCTAATAATTGATAATAATAATAATAATAATAATAATAATAAAGACCATGACATGATAACTTCAAACAAATGTAAATCACATACAAGATTTAAAATAATCATGACAAAATGCTGATGATTAAGATGACGAAGATGATGATGCTGATGGTGATGGTGGTGATGATGATGATGATGATGATGATGATGATGATGATGATGATGATGATGATGATGATGATGATGATGATGATGATGATGATGATGATGATGATGATGATGATGATGATGATGATGATGATGATGATGATGATGATGATGATGATGATGATGATGATGATGATGATGATGATGATGATGATGATGATGATGATGATGATGATGATGATGATGATGATGATGATGATGATGATGATGATGATGATGATGATGATGATGATGATGATGATGATGATGATGATGATGATGATGATGATGATGATGATGATGATGATGATGATGATGATGATGATGATGATGATGATGATGATGATGATGATGATGATGATGATGATGATGATGATGATGATGATGATGATGATGATGATGATGATGATGATGATGATGATGATGATGATGATGATGATGATGATGATGATGATGATGATGATGATGATGATGATGATGATGATGATGATGATGATGATGATGATGATGATGATGATGATGATGATGATGATGATGATGACGATGATGATGATGATGATGATGATGATGATGATGATGATGATGATGATGATGATGATGATGATGATGATGATGATGATGATGATGATGATGATGATGATGATGATGATGATGATGATGATGATGATGATGATGATGATGATGATGATGATGATGATGATGATGATGATGATGATGATGATGATGATGATGATGATGATGATGATGATGATGATGATGATGATGATGATGATGATGATGATGATGATGATGATGATGATGATGATGATGATGATGATGATGATGATGATGATGATGATGATGATGATGATGATGCTGATGATGATGATGATGATGATGATGATGATGATGATGATGATGATGATGATGATGATGATGATGATGATGATGATGATGATGATGATGATGATGATGATGATGATGATGATGATGATGATGATGATGATGATGATGATGATGATGATGATGATGATGATGATGATGATGATGATGATGATGATGATGATGATGATGATGATGATGATGATGATGATGATGATGATGATGATGATGCTGATGATGATGATGATGATGATGATGATGATGATGATGATGATGATGATGATGATGATGATGATGATGATGATGATGATGATGATGATGATGATGATGATGATGATGATGATGATGATGATGATGATGATGATGATGATGATGATGATGATGATGATTTCGATGCCGATGGTGATGGCGGTGATGATGTCGATGATGATGTATATGATTCGGATGCTGATAATTATAACGATGATGTCGATGATAATGATTTTGATGATGATGAGGATGAAGATGATGACGATGACGATTGGGTTTCTCTCGATAATGATGATTTCGAAGCTGATGGTGATTGCGGTGATGATGTCGATGATAATGATTTCGATGGAGATGACGATGATGATGATGCTGACGCTGATGGTGATGGCGGTGATGATGATGATTTCGATGCCGATGGTGATGATGACGATGATGTAGAAGATGATGATGTATATGATTTGGATGCTGATAATGATAACGATGATGACGTTGACTATTGGGTTGCTGTCGATAACGATGATTTCGAAGCTGATGGTGATGGCGGTGATGATGTCGAAGATGATGAATATGATTTGGATGCTGATAATGATAACGATGATGACGGTGATAACGGTTTTGATGATAACGATGATGATCGGGTTGCTGTCGATAATGATGATTCCGATGCTGATGGTGATGGCGGTGATGACGATTTCGATGCTGATGGTGATGGCGGTGATGATGTCGATGATGATGTATATGATTTGGATGCTGATAATGATGACGATGATGACGGTGATAACGGTTTTGATGACGATGAGGATGAAGATGATGTCGATGATGCTGATGGTGACGATGATGATAGCGGTGATGATGATGACCACTATGGTGAGAATGATGATGATGATTTTAGTGGTGTGTATTTATTAAATAAGGCTAAACTTGTTCTCATTCAGATTCATGAAGGCACTAATGAATTACCTTATATCAAGAGCCTCAGTATAATAGATGATAACCAGTGTTAACATATATAGTTGATCGTTTTATTGAGTTATTAGTGAAAGAATGAAATCTAGTAATCATGTTTTCGATAACCTTTTACTCTCTCCTCGATTTTTTTTATTTACATGACTCCATAATCGTTTGTTAAGTTATATAACTTAATCAGTTAGTGTAAAAAATAGCTTAAGTATGCCATTTTAAACAGTTTTTTCTCCACCAAAAGCTTCATCTTAATAATCACTGAGTTGTCTAATCTATATCAATGGAAGATTCTGTCTCTCGGTATGCACATTAAAAATTGTGAAAAATCAAAGGAAATTTTATTTTAAGGTTTTATTTTAAATGTACAACTTTCTCCTCTTTCCCATTATTCTCTGATAGAATTGCCGGCAGTAAATTGAGACAACAGTACAACTAGTCACTGTTGTCTTCTTAATCATTCAAAATCACTACAGAAAATTCTATGGATATTATCAAACCTGAATAATTTTTGATCATTCCTGTCATCCGATTATTCAACATTCTAGCAGTCATTTCTTATCACTGCTGGTCGCCAGTAAGACAGAAAAATGAAGCATGTTTTTAACTACTTATTAGACTTATAAATAACAAAATAGACTTCTAGACACTGAATAGAAGAAGACTGTCTTGTTTCTTTGCCTTAATTAACTTAAACCATATTGACACATTTAACCGAAAACTTGCAAAATAAATATATTGAAACAATGAATCGATCAATGTTAAACCAACATTAGAAACCTGTAAGAAGCACTGGACGGCCGTTCGAATCCTGCGGGGTGCAGGAGTCGTGGATGCGCACTGCCACTGATGAGTCCCATACCAGGACGAAACGGCCGTCTTTCAGTGGCGCTTCCAGGTTTCTAATGGTGTTGGTCTAACATTGATCGATTCATGGTTGCAAAAATGTGTAAATTAACAATCTTCACAACAATCCCGGCAAAAAATAAATATATAGTCAGAGTTTCAATATTCAATAGAATCATATCCTACTACTGGCCTCTGTAAATATTTTTCCCTCATATATATTGTGATAAGTTATCTTTAGTGCACTTCAATGTTTATACAAAAACATAACTGGGAATGTAAACAGATAAAGAGAATACCACAAACGACGTCTACTTTTAGTTACACATACTTCGCATCAAGGATTATACTATCCATAACCACTTAACACCGTTGCGACCGCAACAAACAACGCACCACATCTATCACACTTCCTGTGACGTGTTGCTTACTCATGCCTATCCCTGCGCAACGTTAGCTTGTTGGTTTTGAAAAACCGGTGCGCATAGTGCTCGTGCTCACTGGTAATGTAGAAGTACACCAATGTGAGCATCAGAATCTATGCACCACCACGAGATGGCGTCAGCCACATGTGCCACGGCGTTAGAATGATATCGTTGAGTCGTCCGGGCACTGTTAGTGTTGTTGTATTATGTACACAGTGCAAACACAGCACATAGGGAAGATTAACTTATCACAATATATATGAGGGAAAAATATTTACAGAGGCCAGTAGTAGGATATGATTCTATTGAATATTGAAACTCTGACTATATATTTATTTTTTGCCGGGATTGTTGTGAAGATTGTTAATTTACACATTTTTGCAACCATGAATCGATCAATGTTAGACCAACACCATTAGAAACCTGGAAGCGCCACTGAAAGACGGCCGTTTCGTCCTGGTATGGGACTCATCAGTGGCAGTGCGCATCCACGACTCCTGCACCCCGCAGGATTCGAACGGCCGTCCAGTGCTTCTTACAGGTTTCTAATGTTGGTTTAACATTGATCGATTCATTGTTTCAATATATTTATTTTGCAAGTTTTCGGTTAAATGTGTCAATATGGTTTAAGTTAATTAAGGCAAAGAAACAAGACAGTCTTCTTCTATTCAGTGTCTAGAAGTCTATTTTGTTATTTATAAGTCTAATAAGTAGTTAAAAACATGCTTCATTTTTCTGTCTTACTGGCGACCAGCAGTGATAAGAAATGACTGCTAGAATGTTGAATAATCGGATGACAGGAATGATCAAAAATTATTCAGGTTTGATAATATCCATAGAATTTTCTGTAGTGATTTTGAATGATTAAGAAGACAACAGTGACTAGTTGTACTGTTGTCTCAATTTACTGCCGGCAATTCTATCAGAGAATAATGGGAAAGAGGAGAAAGTTGTACATTTAAAATAAAACCTTAAAATAAAATTTCCTTTGATTTTTCACAATTTTTAATGTGCATACCGAGAGACAGAATCTTCCATTGATATAGATTAGACAACTCAGTGATTATTAAGATGAAGCTTTTGGTGGAGAAAAAACTGTTTAAAATGGCATACTTAAGCTATTTTTTACACTAACTGATTAAGTTATATAACTTAACAAACGATTATGGAGTCATGTAAATAAAAAAAATCGAGGAGAGAGTAAAAGGTTATCGAAAACATGATTACTAGATTTCATTCTTTCACTAATAACTCAATAAAACGATCAACTATATATGTTAACACTGGTTATCATCTATTATACTGAGGCTCTTGATATAAGGTAATTCATTAGTGCCTTCATGAATCTGAATGAGAACAAGTTTAGCCTTATTTAATAAATACACACCACTAAAATCATCATCATCATTCTCACCATAGTGGTCATCATCATCACCGCTATCATCATCGTCACCATCAGCATCATCGACATCATCTTCATCCTCATCGTCATCAAAACCGTTATCACCGTCATCATCGTCATCATTATCAGCATCCAAATCATATACATCATCATCGACATCATCACCGCCATCACCATCAGCATCGAAATCGTCATCACCGCCATCACCATCAGCATCGGAATCATCATTATCGACAGCAACCCGATCATCATCGTTATCATCAAAACCGTTATCACCGTCATCATCGTTATCATTATCAGCATCCAAATCATATTCATCATCTTCGACATCATCACCGCCATCACCATCAGCTTCGAAATCATCGTTATCGACAGCAACCCAATAGTCAACGTCATCATCGTTATCATTATCAGCATCCAAATCATATACATCATCATCTTCTACATCATCGTCATCATCACCATCGGCATCGAAATCATCATCATCACCGCCATCACCATCAGCGTCAGCATCATCATCATCGTCATCTCCATCGAAATCATTATCATCGACATCATCACCGCAATCACCATCAGCTTCGAAATCATCATTATCGAGAGAAACCCAATCGTCATCGTCATCATCTTCATCCTCATCATCATCAAAATCATTATCATCGACATCATCGTTATAATTATCAGCATCCGAATCATATACATCATCATCGACATCATCACCGCCATCACCATCGGCATCGAAATCATCATCATCATCATCATCATCATCATCATCATCATCATCATCATCATCATCATCATCATCATCATCATCATCATCATCATCATCATCATCATCATCATCATCATCATCATCATCATCATCATCATCATCATCATCATCATCATCATCATCATCATCATCATCATCATCATCATCATCATCATCATCATCAATCATCATCATCATCATCATCATCATCATCATCATCATCATCATCATCATCATCATCATCATCAATCATCATCATCATCATCATCATCATCATCATCATCATCATCATCATCATCATCATCATCATCATCATCATCATCATCATCATCATCATCATCATCATCATCATCATCATCATCATCATCATCATCATCATCATCATCATCATCATCATCATCATCATCATCATCATCATCATCATCATCATCATCATCATCATCATCATCATCATCATCATCATCATCATCATCATCACATCATCATCATCATCATCATCATCATCATCATCATCATCATCATCATCATCATCATCATCATCATCATCATCATCATCATCATCATCATCATCATCATCATCATCATCATCATCTCATCATCATCATCATCATCATCATCATCATCATCATCATCATCATCATCATCATCATCATCATCATCATCATCATCATCATCATCATCATCATCATCATCATCATCATCATCATCATCATCATCATCATCATCATCATCATCATCATCATCATCATCATCATCATCATCATCATCTCATCATCATCATCATCATCATCATCATCATCATCATCATCATCATCATCATCATCATCATCATCATCATCATCATCATCATCATCATCATCATCATCATCATCATCATCATCATCATCATCATCATCATCATCATCATCATCCATCATCATCATCATCATCATCATCATCATCATCATCATCATCATCATCATCATCATCATCATCATCATCATCATCATCATCATCATCATCATCATCATCATCATCATCATCATCGCTGATGGACCCACGAA